TTGAATTCCAATTGACTGCACCCGGCATGCCCCAGCAGGACAGAGTTGCAGAGCGAAGAAATATGACTCTTATGGAAATGGTTAGGTCAATGATGAGTTATTCTAGATTACCAGATTCGTTTTGGGGTTTGGCTCTGGAAACAACATCGTACTTTCTGAACTTGGTTCCATCAAAGTCAGTAGAGACTACTCCTTACGAATTGTGGAAAGAGCGAAAGCCCAGTTTCTTACATATTCGAGTATGGGGTAGTCCTGCACAAGTTTTAGTGCAGGAGGCTGGCAAATTGGAAAATCATTCAGAAGTACGAGTTTTTGTAGGCTATCCCAAGGAAACGAAAGGTGGATTATTTTATAGTCTCGAGGATCAGAAGGTGATCGTCAGTATGAACGCAAGATTCTTGGAAGAAGACTATATTATGAATCACAAGCCCGCCAGTAGAGTAGTCTTAGAGGAGTCGAGGGGAGAAGTCGATAGTTTCCCACCGAGTGCGCGAGTAGATACATCACATAATACTGCAACACGTAACACTGAGAGTGTACCAGTACAAACAGTACCTCGTCGTAGTGGGAGGGTTTCTCAGGGCTTGATTGTTTATGAAATAATTTGTTCAATTTGAATTATTTTGGTTAACTATAGTTAATTTTAAAAAAGGTGATATGGTTAGTTGTAGTGGAATTTTAAGAATGTATTAAAATAATATTTAAAATAAAATAATTAAGATTGATTTGATATAAAAGTAATAGACAAATGATTGAAAATGATTAGAAATGATAGGTAGTTAAAATTATGTGAGTTGATGAATAGTGAATTAAAGTTGATGTGATGTGTAAGAATGATTGGTTTGTATTATTTAATTATATGAATAATATTAAAGATAGTGGGGTTGAGTTAAAGTTGAGTTAGATTTTGAGTTGAAATAAAAGTGAGTAAATTATTTTGTAAACAATCACCCCCTCAGTTACCCGACCGATGGATAGGTCTTGAAGAGTCTAAGGGCTCAGTTCCAGAAAACCTAGAATCGGACCCAAGAACCTACAAACGAGGCACTCCAAGATAAAGATGCAGATTCATTGAAAGTTGCAATGAATGCTGAAATGGGGTCTATGGACTCTAATCATGTCTGGGATCTTGTAGAACCACCCAATGGGGTATGACCCATTGGATGCAAGTGGATCTATAAGAGAAATAGGGGATCAGTGGGGAGGTGCAAACCTTCAAAGCTAGGCTTGTTGTGAAAAGTTATATCCAGATTGAGGGTATAGATTATGATGAGACCTTTTCGCCAGTAGCTTTGCTTAAGTCCATTCGGATTCTCTTGGCTGTAGATATGGATTATGAGCTCTGGCAGATGGATGTCAAGATGACTTTCCTTAATGGAAACATTCAGGACGACATCTATATGCAACAACCAAAGGGATTCATTGCTGAAGGTCATGAGCATCTAGTGTGTAAGCTTAATCGGTCAATTTATGGATTGAAGCAAGCCTCGAGGTTTTGGAACATTCAGTTTGGTGAAGTGATCTAGTCATACGGGTTCACTCAATGTCCGGACGAGCACTGTGTGTACAAAAAAATCAGTGGGAGCGTGGTGGTGTTTCTTGTGTTGTACGTGGATGACATACTTCTTATTGGAAACAGTAAGAAGGAGTTGTCAAACGTAAAGGTGTGGTTATCTAAGCAGTTTGATATGAAGGACTTGGGAGAAGCAGGACACATTCTTGGTATTAGGGTCGTTGGACACCGTAAGAAGAGAATGTTGTGCTTATCCCAGTCTTCATACATAGATACTGTCTTGAATAGGTTCATCATGCAGGATTCCAATAAAGGTACCTTGCCTTTCAGGAAAGTAATCCCTCTCCCTAAGGAGACGTCTCCCAAGACGTCTAAGAGATTGAGGACATGAAGACAGTTCTTTATGCATCGACAACAGGAAGTCTTATGTATGCTATGCTTTGTACTAGGTTGGATATCAGCTACGCTGTTGGCTTAGTAGCAAGATATCAAAGTAATCCAGATAGGCAACAATGGTCTGCGGTGAAGCATATACTCAATTACTTGAGAAAGAATAAGGAGTACATGTTAGTTTACCGTGTATACAACTTGTTATCTCTGGGTTACAGTGATTCTGATTTCCAGCCAGATAGGGACGAGAGTAAGTCAAGCTCTGGTTATGTGTTTACCTTGGGAAGTGGTGCCATTTCATGGAGGAGCGCTAAGCAGAAATGCGTGGCAGAGGATGGTCAATAGTATATATAACTGAAACTGGTACTGATACTGAAACTGAAACTGATACTGAAACTGATATCATAATTGCAATATCATGATCAATAGTATATATAACTGAAACTGATACTGATACTGAAACTGAATCTGCCGGTGATACCGAGGGCTGGAAGCCATGTGCACACTCTAATGGGCAGATTACGGCTATCTGAGCCACCAGTAGAACTCAGGATGGTCTTACGGTATCTGGACCACCACCCTAAGCGGAAACTGAATATACATAACTCGAACATGATATCTGTAATTATACTCAATGTAATACTCAGTCTGAGTCCCCACCTGTACTGCTGGTTTAAAAATGTATGTGTTGAATTGTTTGCTGATTGCTCAAACTGTAAAAATGTATGAATAAACAAATACTAAGTACTATGCTCAGACTTACTAAAATAACTGCTAAGATGCTCGACTCTAACTGATAATTTAACTGGATTTACGGGAATAGTCTAGGGTTCTATTTTAACTGATTTTAAATCTGAACTGAACTAGTATTGCTATACTGAACTGACTGGACTAAAAAATTAACTCAAAATTTGAACTAAACTCGAACCGGGTCAATAAATACTGAACTACTCAAATAACCGATCTAGACCGGCCGGTTCACTGGCTGGCCGGATCGCCGGCTCGTCGTGGCCGGGAGGTCAGCCACTGGCTTGGGCCAACCGGCTCGGTCCCGCACAGGGTTTGCTGGTGCCTGGCGTGGTCGCACGCGTGGACTGGGGGCGGCCTGGACGCTGCCGGGCGTCACTAGCACCGGCAGGACGCAACTGGTACCCGCCAAGTGCCACTAGGCACGACGGTTGGTGACTGGCTAGTGTTGGGTGCGACAGGCGCTGGCCTGTGCACGACTGGGCGTGACTTAGGCGCTGGCGGGTGCAACTGGCACAACACGCGCGCGAGGAATGGCCATCGAGTGCTGCTGGGCACGACCGACGGCGACTGGGCACTTGGAAGCGCGACTGGCCACTTCCGAGCATGCTGGCTTCGGCACTGACGCGTACAAGCACTGTGATGCAGAAGTGGCTAGGCAGCTCAAGAACGCCACAAGTCGCGCTTACCACGCACGCAAGAGGTTAGCACGGGAAGCAGCCGAAGTGCGCGCACTGGAGTGTGTAGTGCGCGCGGGGCGAGTATGGGTGGCCAACGCGCAGATATGCGGGAGATGGGCGCAGGCGGATGCGCGCAGACGACGGTGCCTATATAAAGGCCCCATCCCTATGTTATTTTTAATCATTCAAGAATTAATAGAAATCAAGAACTTTGTTCTTCCAACTTTGCTTTAGTCTTTTCACCAAAATACTACTGTAATTTTATCGTTTCAATAGGCGCGGTTGTGGCTAGAGAAACACTATCGGCGATTCAAGGCACGGGTTAGCGGCTTATCGTCAGTCGAAACACACGATCCTCATCATTGGTGCTTTCATTGAGAGGTGTTGATCGTGTGTTTTTTTTCCTACCCCATTCCCTTTTCTTATCTTCCCCTTTTTAATACGTTCGATTCAAAAAAAAAAAATAAATAAATAAAATAATCGTTCATCATCATAATCATCTTCAACTACGAGTCCACAAAGTAAAGAGCAAAGAGAAGAAAGGAAAGCCATGGCCAATAAAGAGATGAAGGATAAAATTGATAATCTCGATGTCCAGTTCCGTGGCATGAGCGAAGCTATCGATACATTGGGCGAAGGACTCGACAATACCAAGGTAATGGTACAAGATCTGGTGGAAACCGTGAACAGGCGCTTTGACGAGATGGCGCGCACGGTTCTCGCGCGCCTACCACCACCGCGGCAACACGACCGCGCACAACACCATGGTCGCGAGCGGGACGAGGGCGAGGCACGACGGCACGAAGGATACGAATGCGAGGAGGATTTTGACCGACAGTCCCAAGCATCTAATTATCGCGATCGACGTGCAACCGACAAGCCGCACATCACGTTGTCCACTTTCACGGGCAGCGATCCAGACGCATGGCTCAACAGGGCGATGCAATATTTTGAGCTCAATGAAACTGACGGTCCAGATCGTGTAAGGTATGCGGCTTATTATCTCGATGGTGAGGCCAATGTATGGTGGCAATGGCTCACAAGGGTTTATCGTAAGCGGCAACAAATTATCACTTGGGATGTTTTGAAAGAGAGTTGCTTACACGGTTCGGTACATCTGATTACCATAACTACAACGATGCTCTCACACGCATAAGGCAAACAGGCAGCTTGCGCGAGTACATCAAGGAGTTCGAACGGTTGGCCTGCCGCGTGCGCGATTGGCCCGAAGATGCATTGGTGGGAGCATTTGTAGGTGGATTAAAATTCGACCTAGCCGCAGAAGTCTGACTTGAGAGGCCTGACACCATGCACGATGCGATGGAGGTTGCCCGACGGCGCGAAGATCACCTGATTGCAACGCGAAGGGGATGGGCGGATGCTCGTTTCACAGATACGCGGCGCACAGGCCCAAGCCACGCGACGGCAAGCACACAACTGAATGTCAGCGCTCGGCCAGCGGGGTCGGTAGTAAGGAGGCTATCCCCCGAGGATGTCAAACACTAACGTGAGAAAGGCCTCTGCTTTAAGTGCGAAGCGAAGTGTACCCCAGGTCATCAATGCAAGCAGGCCTTTGTGATTGAGGTGGCCAACCCCGACGATGAGGAAGCTGAGGTCGAGGAGGAACCACATCAGGAGGATGAGATTTAAGCATTCAATGAGGAGCAGAGATCTCGATGCATGCAATGGCTGGAATCAGAGGACTAAGGACGATGCGACTACCAGCATGGGTCAAAGATCGAAGAGTGATCGTACTCGTAGACAACGGTTCGTCTCACAACTTCATCAATACTGATTTGTCTCAAAAGCTGAAGTTGCCAACCACAAAAATCGAGCCCTTTGAAGTTCGAGTAGCCAATGGAGAAAGGCTACAATGTACTGAGTCATTCCGGAAGGTACCAATCAAGTTCAACGGAGTTACTGTGAAGGCTGATCTCTATGCCTTACCTTTGGTTGGACCTAATGTCGTTCTGGGAGTACAATGGCTCGAAGGATTGGGCAAGGTGACTACCGACTATCAAACGGGAATTATGGAGTTCAATTCTAGAGGTCGGCAAGTCACTCTGAGTGCTGGCAACGAAAAGGGTACCAAGGAAGTAGGGCTAAAAAGTATCCAAAGAGTTTGGCGAGGTGGCGGCCAAATCTTTGCAGTAGTAGTCGAGAACATTGAGGCGCACATGGATCAGGATGAGCAACAACAAGGAGATGTGCGCAATTTTCTCGGGGAGTTTGAAGGAGTACTAGGCGAGCCTAAGGGACTACCGCCACACCGAGAGTTCGATGATCGCATACCACTGATTAATGAACAGCATGCCATCCACATCCACCCTTATAGGTACGCTCACTTTCAGAAAACTGAGATCGAACGGCAAGTGGCCGAGATGCTAGAGTCAGGATTAATCCAACATAGCAAGAGTCCATTTTCTTCACCAGTACTGTTAGCTAAAAAGAAAGATGGCACATGGAGGTTGTTGGTGTTATATACTTAAGCTTTGCTTTAGTGGA